GAGGATGAGAGGTTCCACTAGAGACAAAGTGGGGGACAGAAGTACACTACTGAGGGGGGTAGAGGTGGGACAGGAGAGGTCTCCTGTGCCATGTGGGTCACCTCTCTGGCTGGGGATGAACTCATGCTCCAGTGGCTGCAGAACTTAAAAACATAACAAAATGAGAATGAGAACTTAGGTCATTTTGAGATAATTATATGTATATATTTTAAGTTCCTTTCCGTTGTCTTATGTTTTACTTCAATTAATTTTTGTTTGGAGATTTTACTGAAGTTAGTATATTATAGGCTATTTGTGTGACACATTGCATGGTTTGGTATTGGATTCATTCCGATGGGCCCAATTGCTGTTGTCCTTCTCCTAGTTAATTTAGGTATATATTATCTTTATATTTGCTTCTGTTACTTTAATAATAATGCTTTCAGAATTTCATATGCAGCTTTGTATTTATCTACTCTTTTATTTCTTGCTCCTCATTGAAGCTCCTTAGTCTTCCTCCCATCTTGAATGTTAATCTTGCAGAATAAAGGATTCTGGGGTGGAAATCTTTTTTTTAAAAAAGATTTATTTATGCATACAGAACTGGGGTACAGGGCAGAGATGCAGGGACGGTGAGAGCATTTATCAGTGACAAAGTGGGGAACAGGGAGACTGACAAAGTACACTGCTGAGGGGAGCAGCAGGTGAGACAGGAGAGGTCTACTGCACTATGTGGGTCACCTCCCTGGCCAGCGATCAAACTGAAGTGGCTGCAGCTAGCTTCCTTATTGCTGTACTTTAACCTATTGCACCACCAGGGAGGGCCCTGGGTGGAAATCTTTAAGTACTTTAAACATCTCCTTCTAGTCCTTTCATGCTCATAATGTTTTTGCTGTAGTCTATTGACAGTTCTGTTGTGATCCCTTAGGTATTACTCTTTTTTTCTCAATATATTTTGTTGTATTTTCAGCAGTTATTCTATAATCTGTCTGTGTGTGTGTGTGTATGTGTTTGGAAATATTTGTGCATCTTGGGTCACAAAATCTCATTTATTTGCCAGACTGATTTTCAGCAATTATTTCTTTCAATAATTTTAAAAAATATTTATTTTTAAAGATTGATTTATTTGTGCATACAGAACTGGGGTATTGGCCAGAGGTGCAGGGGCAGTGAGAAGATTCATCGGAGACAGAGTGGGGAGCAGAACAGTCAGATCATTGAAGTATACTGTTGAGGGGAGCAGTAGGCGGGTCAGGAGGAGTCTGCCACGCCATGTGGATCACCTCTGGGGCAGGCAGGGATCGAACACATGCTTAAGTGGCTTTAGCTTCTTAGTGTTGTGCTTTAACCCACTGCACCACTAGCGAGGGCCTCTTTTAATAATTTTAAAGCAAGCTTTTCTTCTGGGTCTCCTATGATACAGATGCTATTTTTCTTTAAGTTGTCTCAAAGGGCTATTACACTATATTCAGTTTTAAATTCTTATTTTTCACTATACTGCTCCGTTTGTGTTAGTTTGTATTGTGTTAGTTTGTATTAGTATTGTGTTTTTGCATTCATTAAGCCTCTCATTGCTCTGTGTGCTGTTGAACCTTCAGTTTAAGTCAGCCATGTTTCTTAGCTCTGTTATTTCTGATTGTAGCTCCTCATAGTTGCTTTATCTTTATTCTGATGTTTATATATTAGTTCAATAAGCAGTTAGAACTCATTTTTTTTTTTAAAGATTCATTTATTTATGCATACGAGAACTGGGATACAGGCCAGAGGTGCAGGGGGTGAGAGAATTCACCAAAGATAGAGTGGGAGCAGAACAGGTGGATTGACTGTTGAGGCAGTGGGCTGTGGGCAGGTCAGGGGAGATCTGCTTTGCCAAGTGGATCTGCTAGCCGGGAATTGAACTTGTGTCACTGTGGCTGCAGATCACTTCATAGTGCTCTTTAAAACCATTGTGCCACCAGGGAGGGTCCTAGAGTTGTTATCTTACTCTTCTATGATGTTTTGCAGTTTTGCTGGGTTGGAGTGCCTCTTAGGTAATTTATGCTCCGACATTGTGCTGTGTTCTTTTTACATTTTTGTGACTGTAATAGGTTATTTTTCCAGACTGTTGTCTTTGCACTTATTGAAGTAATTTAAGGATTAGCACTGATATGGGGTAAAAGGTATAAAAGAACACTGGGGCACTAGGGCACCAAAGAATCATTTCCAGTAAACTCAGGTCTTCAAAGTTCATACTGTACTGTAGATACCAGTGTTGTGTGGTGGGAATCATCATCTTCCCTCAGGCCAGCTCCTCTGTCTTAATGTCATTTATAGCCTTGTGTCCACTTCCACTCTAGTTATATTTTAAGCACAAGATGCAGCACTTATCACAAATTATAGCTGATTTGGTGTCACAGACCAGGGTTACTCTTTTTTTCTTTTCCAGCAATCTTATTCTGGAGTGTTTGTTCCTGTTATTGTTAGGAGTTGTGCTCTAGTTTGCTCAAGCTTTTATTTTGACTTTTGTCCTGATGTGTGGGGTAGCACGTGGTTTGCTTACCTCCGCCTTAGCTGCTTCTGTAAGAGGCCCAGGCACTCAAATCGTTTTCTGTCTACCAGTTTAGGCTCTAAGTGTCACACTGAAAGCCTGTTTCAGTCAGTAATCTTTGCATCTCTACCCCAAAAACTCCCTAACAGTGCACCCTCTGTCCAGTGTACCCCCTTATCCAGCAGAGAGATGGTTTTCAGGAGTCCCCAATGTTGGCATGTGTCCAAGTCAACAACTTTATGGGGCTCCAAATAGCAGCCACCTCTCCCTTTTGTGATTTTACTGTCACAATAAATAACAATCAATTAAAGTTTTATGTACCCCTCTCTGCCAGATCAGTACTTCTAGTGTGTGCTGTAGTTGTCATTCTTCCTTCAGGGTTCTTTTGGCTTTGTTGTACTACAATCTAGTTGTATCTGGAGGAGGTCCAGGGATCTTCACTCTGTCATCTTTATAGACCTCAAGACAAGCCAACTGTCTTTTGTTATGGCACATAGAGGATGATTTTTATTTGACACCTGTCTATGAGAGGTTATTTTACTGCATGTGTCTAATACATTTATTATTTGCAATTGTCATTTTATTCTTCTATTATTCCCACCCCGTATTTCTCCCATTCTTTGATGTCTTGTTCAGATGTTCTTTGTTACCTTTTGATTAGAGATTAAATGGATTTCTTTTTTTAACACTGGCATTTCCACTAAATTAAAATACTATTTTTCCTAAGTTAAAAACAAAATGGCATCTATTGACAATGCTTACCTAAGATTAGAATTCTAGTATGATTGTATATCTTCCTTCCCTTATAACTTTCCATTACGGTTGGAATAATTTATTAATTTTACCTTTATGAGTTATGTGCTCACATTGAAATTTATGATCAGATTATTTATAAATGGAAACACAAAGATTTTATTGCTCAAACTAGTTCCACACCTTTTAATTGCTTGGGCAGCAGGAATAATGTGTTAGAACTGTGTTCCGGCTTCCGGCTGTATAGAATACAGATTTGGAGAGTTCATGAATTCAGCTTCTTAAATGGAGAAATCCCAAATTGAGCTTTCCTGTACTCTAGTCATGTTGACCCAACAAGTCTTCAATTCAGAAGTGAGCAGTACACAGGAGCAAATGTAGTTCCCTACGTTCAGTTTTTATCTTATTTTATCATGAGGATGTATCAGAATGTTCTGGTATTTAGGGGCAGTAATTGGGTCTTTACTAAAACAGTCTTATGTATGATTTGGGTATTTTTTCCATTGTGTAGTTTCCAAGACTTATTTTCTGGACCTCCAAACAGACCCTATGAGCTACTTAATATTCTTTAAATAAACATCTTGTCTTTTGAAGTCTTGTTGCCAAGCAGGTTGAATGTTAGAAGTATCTTAAATAAATCCTAATTGAGCTCCTTTCAGGGTACTTAATGTTAATTTCTTTCAAACTATATATTGTTCCATTTTTTCCTTTTTGGCATTAGTATTGCTAAGAAATCTGATGCCAATTTACTTTTTTTTGGTAGGAATTTCTTTCCCCATATATTTCTTTTTAAATGAAAGACAGCTCCATCTTTGAAAACTAATAACTCACTAAGATATGTATCCATGAATTTTGTTATTTTCAATTTAATTCAGAAACAGAATGTTTTGAAGTTTATAAATAACCCAATCTGAAGGAGTAGTACAGTGAGATCTCAGAAATAGTGATACTGAGGCAATACCAGGAACAAGGGACTTGTGTTATATGTCTTCTCTTCACTCTGGTTTCCCCTCAAAGTTGTTCCCTCCTTTCTCTACAGGCTGGATTTTTGTTTTAGCGTCCTGATGCTAATAACCTCTGCCTTTACTGTAGCCTTTAGTTCAAGCACTCAATCTAGCCCCCACTGGCCAGTTGATAAGTCTCTCTGTGGGACAGTCACAGTTTGGGGAACAGACTGTGTACATGGTTCAATGACCAACAGTAATCCAAATATTCACATTTCCAAAAGGTGGTGTAGGTGGGGCAAGTTCTATTTGACATCATTCTCAATAATTGCTTTTCACAAATGAACGTTATAGTCAATACTCACCTTAACTAGAATACATTATGTTGAGTAATTTTAATTTGAAAAAAAAGTAACAATCACAAAGCTTCAAGAAAATAATAGTCACAAATGTTGAGAATTATCCTGAATATTAGAAGAAACAAAGGATATTTAGCACCAAGAACAATATTATACACATAGAACATACAGGTTGAAAGTATCAATGGCCTAACAAAAACCAGAATATAGTTTTATAGACCACAGAACAGTTATGAGCACAGCAGGAAGAGGATGAGGTGTTTACAGGAGTCAAAGTCCATAGGTTTTAAGACTATCAAGTAGTATCTTAAAGACAGCATAAATGAGGGAGATGCTCATTAGAATAAAAAAGATAATTTATAAACCTTATTTCACTAACCTTGATTTTTGAAAAATTATGTTTGGTAAATTTTAATGATTTGACTACCTAAATCTTTCTTTAGCACTTGGCAATATACTTTCTGCATTTATGGCACTGTTCTTTTTTTATCTTAGATACAAGGAAACCCTGTGACAACGTGAATTAAGATATAGCACACACAACTGGTCCCCACCCTTAGTAAGACTTATCCCTTCACTTTGTATTATCGTAATTTTACATCAATTGATTATCTGCTATATAAACTATGTCATTTGCTTTTTATGGGTTTATCTTTTATTTCATTATTATTGTTGTTTTTCCGTCTAGTTTATCCTCAAATACCAATTTGATTTGTTAGTGGTTAATCACTCACACTCTTAACAAATTGGATATATTTTCCTTTGCTCTCAAATCAGTCTTCCCTCATTTGAAAGGTCATTTCTCATGTTCTCTTCTGATTTTATTAAAACAAATCCACACTAGGTATTTGCTGAAATTATTACCCTTAAAATAACTGTTTCAAAGGCTGTGTCAGCTGATCTCTTAGATATAGTCATTATCTTTAGATTTGTCCCCTTTATCAATTCAGTCGTTCTGTCTAATAAAGGGTTCTGTAAACCAACTTTTTCTTTAATGGCTATGTAGACTGGTCTTTCACCTAGTAGCTGCTGCTTGCAGGGATTTGTAAGTTTATTCATTATTCATTCACATCTGGGACATCTGCCCACTATTGAAAGATGAAATTACCTTTACCAGTGTTATCACTCAATACTCAAAATCTGTCATGCCTGAAGGAGAGGGAAGTGAATCTGTTGGTATGTGTTTGTCAGATTGAAGGTTCACTTGTTGAGACATAGCTAGTACAGAAGGCATTGGCTCAAAGAGCTTTATTATTATACCTTAGAGCAACAGTTCTCAAGGTTTGGCTCCCAGGCCAGCAGCAACAATTATCACCCATGAAGTTGTTGAAACTGCAAATTTTGGGGCTCCATTGAAGTCTGAAACTATTGGGATGTGGCCCATCTGTAGCTTAATAAACGTGTCTCATGATTAAAATTCACTCTGGTTGGAAAACCACTGCCTTTGGAATTCTTTGTTGCAGTCAAAGGTAGAAAGAACATTGCCCGGTACTTTACAGTTCTCTTAATAGGCATCACAATTCTTAACTCATCCCTAAACAGTGGTCAGTATACTGCTTGTAATAAGCATCAACTGGAAATGTTTGATTTGCTATTGTTATGGCAGCACCCTGTGAATTTCTGAAAGCAGAATTGAGATTTGTCCCCTTTATCAATTCATTCTAATAAAGGGTTTTGTAAACTAACTTTTTTTAAATGGCTGTGTGGACTGGTCATTTACCTAGTAGGTGTTGACTGCAGGAATTTGTAAATTTTCTGGCACATGGGGGATCCTTTTCTCATTGTCAGCACTAATATTTATTTTTCCTTGAAAAGACAATTTATACCCCATCTCTTTCCATAAAAGCATTAAAGTGGTTTATAAAAACCAGCATATAATTCAGAAAAAAAGAAAACCAGAATTAAAAGAGAAAAGAAATATAACTTATGTGCATGTATTCATCCTTGTTGGATAAGGCAGCCTTTTAGAGCAGTATAAATATAATAAATTAGTAGTAGTATTCACAAACTATTTCATTCAGATAAAATACGTGACAAAATTTAAAAGTAGATATATTCCAAAGATTAGTAAATTGAGGTGTTTGCAAAGAGGCACAGTGGAAAGAGTGTATGCTTTGAAGTCAAATGCCTTTTTAAAACTTTAAATAGCAATTTACTAGCATTTTAGCTTAAAAAAAAATCAGCCTCACTACTTGTGATAAACAACTTAAGAGCAGCAGGGAGAAGTACTTAACTCCTCTCCACATTGCTTTTTCCAAGGACACTATCACACCGAAATATCCTTTCCATTTCCCAAATGTGGATTGCATGAATTTGGTCATTAAAAAACTATTCAAAACTATTCATTCATTCAAGAGAGAATTCATCATCTGTGTCTTCTGATCTTTTAGAACAAATGAGAAGAGAAATTGAATTAGCTTTGTTAAGTGTTACTGATTTATCTTTCCTGGTGAAGGAGGATTTTCCTTGCTGTTCTTACAAACCCCAGAACTCTATTCACCAAAAATCAAGTCTTCCTTAAGGGGCAGGAGTTTTGGAATAGTGTTTTCAATATCTTACTGGTATCAAATCTAACTAACATTCCACAGGATTTGTGTTTTATGAGCATAGCAAAATGCTGTTTATTTCCCACAATGTATATGGATAAAACTTGTTCATTCCAAACCCTGTTAATAGGGAGAAAATGAAGGGACAAGACAGTTACATTCCAAAACAGGTTTGGGAGGGACTACTTACACTTAAGAATAATCATTTTCTTCAAGTATAGCGTTTAGATTTTTTATTAAGGAAATATTATATGGGCCTATTATGTTCAATGCCTACTCCTGTGATATATTATATCAATTTGTTTTAAGTGAACTCTAGGGGAGTAAGAAAAGACACAAGGGGAAAAATACTAAACATCAAGAAGTTCTAATCACATAAAAAAAAAAATTCAGGAATGATTAAGTGCCAATGCATGGAATGGTTAAATGCCAATAACGCTAATTATTTCTCATTACTGTAAGAGAACTTTCACTCTTAATGCATAGAATTTGGAGAAAAAGTTTATATAAGTTTTTAAAAGAGGCCCTTTTAACAATTAATACAAATATGAAACAACAACCTCAAATACCAGCTCCGGTAATAGTTTTACATACAGCAATAATTTATTCTGAAATGTTCATTTAGTTTCTTTTGAGACATGATTCATGTCTCATTAATAAAAGAGCAGCCATCTCACCTCAAATACCAGAATATACAAGTTACAGCATAGCAAAAAATCTACCTACTTTCAGATAAAATCTAGTTCGGGTAAAATAGTTTCAATTACACAATTTTTTTTTGTTTTGTTTGTTTCGAGCACAAAATAGTGTAAATTGTTACACCCTAGCTATCTATATGCATATCATGTGACCACAGAACTGTTAATCATTACTTTTGAAATTGAACCATCAGTTTCATTCATGCAGTAAAGCAAAGCAGGCTGGGTAAACTTGTTCATTCAGAACCATATTACTGTGAATTTCACAGCCACATGATTAATTATAGACTCACAAGGACTAAAACGGGTTTTTTTGCATAAATACCAATTTCTCCCTGATGTAAGTTTAGTCAGTTTATAACCTAGAAATGACTGATAACAATGTATCATCTTCTATCTGTAGTGTTCATTATTTTAATACAGGCAATAATTAAAGGATGGGATGCTACTTAAATACATGTAATACGTACTGTACAAATATACTTGGCTTTACTATTTTCTTCCTAGCTATCAGGATTGTGTCCCAAAATATGACCAGTGAAGACAAAGTATACTATCAAATATGGCTTTCAGAACAAAACCCTCTAACAAGAATCAAACCTATTTACAAAAACTTTCATCAGTCTTTTAAAGTTTCCTTTGAAACACAATTTATACATAGCAGTTGTAATTAACACAGAACCTTCTTAGTATCATTCCAGCTCTTTTAAACAGATGTCACAAGGTAGGACCCAGAGTGGCGCTTAGGACTTTGAGTCCCACTGGATTCAGTACTGTCCGTTTTTGAATCTCGTTTCTTGGTGGTGGTATTCACTGGTGTAGGGATCTGAGATGGTCGGGCGGAAGTGCTGTCTGCGCTGCTTTTTCTAGGGCTCGGGTTGTAATTAAAAGGAGTCACTCTGGCAGCAACTGTCCCACTAGGTGAACTGTGTTTGCTTGAGCTACTAGAACTGAATGGGGTACGTTCAGCTATAGAACTTTCATTAGTCTCTGACACAGCAGCAGAGTTTTGACCCGTTTTTGCATCAGTTCCTTTTTGGTCTGGGGCATCTACCTGAATAAAAGAGTTCAGGCGGTTTTCTAAACCCACAGTGCGTATAGTAGTGCTGCCATTACCTACATTTTGTTTTCCCTGATTATCTTTTGAATCTTTAACAGCTGGATTTCCCTTTTCTGAAACACTGTCAATCACTGGTGGAGTATTTCCTGTGGGAGATCTTCCAGATCTAGGGTTGTTAATGGGACAGTCCTCAATTCTCACCCACACATCCTCTGTTTTAGAAACAGCAGGTGCCATTTGATAAATGAGAGTCTTTGTTTCAGCACCATTTGCAGCACCCGAGGAAGTGGTATGAGGACTTGTGGGAGAAATTTCACTCTCTTTTATTTTTCTCCATGTCCCTTTTGTGGATATTGGATTCTCCTTAGCTTGTTTTGTTCCTGAACTTGAGTTCACCTGTTTCTCATCCTCACTTTTTGCTTTTTCACTAGATTCTGATGAAGCAGAAAGAATTGAGGATGAACTTCCAGTTCTTCTCCAAGTGCTTACTCGAGGAAGGGATGATGAATGTTTGCTGTGCTCACGTTTCCAGGTTCCTGCCCTATTGACTGGAAGTCTGGAAGGGCTTTCAGAATGAGACCTTGCGACGTCATGGCGCTTTGCTGGTCTTCCGTCATCATACTCTAGAGTGGGACTCAGATTGGGTGGAAGTTTTCGCCATCCACCAGCCTGAACAGATGAATGTGTGGACAGAGACATATCAGGAAGGGAAGGACTTAAAATTGGTGTCTGTGCTTGGGATCTAGTGGGAGAACCTGGTCTAGAAGATGGAGAAAGAGATTCAAATGAAGCAGATTCCTCCAACTTTCTCCTTAGGGTTGGGCTTGGAGTTTCTTTGATGAAAGTTGACTGGCGTACTAATACTGGTCTCTCAGACCTATCAGATTCACTTCCACTTGATTTAGTTGAAGACATTCTAGAAAGCTCTACTTTTTTGTTGGATCCATTGCTATTATTGATCTGATTCAGTCCTTTGGAGGCAGACTCACTTCTTGGGATACTACTACCATTCTTTGCTAGACCTGTTTGTTTGGTGAGATTCTGTTGGCTCAGCTGTCTGCCTGGGGATGTGTACGGCATTTTCCCAGACCCTGAGGACTTAGTTGAAGCAGTACTAGGGGATGATGTCCTTGGGAGTTGAGATAATTTATTAGGAGGACTTATGCCATTTCTACCAGGAGAAATTGAATTTCGCCCAGGAGACTGCATAGGTCTACTTAATGGTTGCTGGGCAGGTCTTGAAGGAGTAGTATCTCTAGACCCTGATCTAGAAGGACCTTTATTTGACCCACCTGGCTGGGATGAAGGTCGAGTAACAGGACTTAATTCTGACTTCACAGATGGCTTAGGTCCTCTTGGAGAAGTGGTGGCTGTCTGACCTTCGCTAGGGCTTTTGGAGGCAGGTGTTTTAAGAGGTGGGCCTTTTTTCGAAACAGGACTTGTACTTGAAGAGCTATTTCTAACTCCGGGAATATGAATCATTGTCCTACCTCGAGAGATTGAAGGCATGTTTGTGTGAAGAGGCTGCTTTATTTGGCTTGAAACTTCTGAATTAGATCGAACTTTTCCAGTAATCAAACTTTTATAAACTTTTTTTCCTCCTTTGATTCCTTTATTTTCAGATTCAATTTTTTTAGTTTCCAGTGTACTTTTCTCCCCTGGTTTTAGAATTCGTGGGCCTTTATTAGTTGTAAAGGGTTTTTCCTCTTGATCAGGTGTAAGATGAAATGGTGATCCAAGAGAGATTCCTGATTTCAGGGAAAGGATGGAATCTGAATCAGATGAGGCTTGTCTAGATAAACATGCAGCAGCAGCAGCTTGATGTAAACTACTTACTATGGAATTTGCACCTTCCTGAATAGCTTTCCAGTCAAAATTTTCTGAGTCAGGGGATAAGCCATGTTCTGAATCTGGTCTCTGCACATCTTTCAAGTCAAGTGTCAAATCTTCTGCTAATATGCCACCCACATGTCTGGGACTATGCTTTTCATTATCCCCCTTGAGTCTTGAAGGCTTTTTCTTTTTTGGCATTGCAGAACTTATACATTCCTGCAACAGGTCATCTTCCGAATCAATACTAAGAGAACTGAGAGAACTGTTTCTTGAGAAACAAACAGGGGTATCTTCAACATGAAATGATTTAGGAGCATAACCTGATGCTTGAGCTTTACTGGGTTCTCCCTGTGTGTCAGGGGGCTCTGTGGCTTTGATAGGTTCATTTTCTTTGTTGTTGTTTTCTTGATCGATGTCACTAAGAGAACTTAGAGAGGAATTTTGAGAAAAGCAGACTGGAGTATTTTCAATAGCAAAATTCTGTAATTTTTCATCAGTTGCTGCCCCTCTATCTGGCATATCTTTGGATGACTGGGGAAAAGTGGGCTGCTTCTGTAGCATGGGCTTAGACTGACCTCGATTTATTGTGTGTTTTATAATAGTCTGTGGCTTATTAGCTGACTGTTGATTGGAAGTTAGCTCTGTGTGGCTGGTTACTTTAGCTTCTGATTCCTTATTTTCTTTCCCCTTTCTTAGTTCAGCCTTTTCTCTGGAAAGGTCAACATCATCATCATCAAAATCTAGAGAACTCAAAGAATCGTTTCGTGAAAAACAATAAGGTGTTCCTTCAATAGGTGTGTAATGATGGGGTGAATCAAAAGTAAAACTCCCTCGGATTCTATCTTCATTATTTGGAAGCTTATCGTGGAAGTCCTTAGAGTTATTTTTCAAGTTCTGTTTCTTTAAATCTTTGTTGTCTGAGAAAGTTCTTTCGGCATTCACATTATTTTTTGAGTCTGTATTTTTTCTCACACGTGTCCTATATTCAGTGTTTTGTGGAATTGGTTTAACTGGCGAAGTGGGTTTTTTCTTGTGGACATCTAATTGATTTTTGTTAGTTCCAGATGAAGACATAGAAGCTTGCTGGACCTGGTCCATTATCTTTTTCACACGGAAAGGCTTGTGACTTTTTCCTTTGGGCATAGCAGAATTAATGCATTCTGCAAGAATATCACCTTCTTCTGTTTTACTGTCATCCAGTTCGGGTATAGTGATAGATGAGGCTTTCCCTCTCTGACCCTCATCTGTACTTCTGCCTTCGGTAGGAATGGTATCTCGTTTTTCAATTTCACAAGACTGTGCCCCTATTCTAACCCCTTCTCCAGCTGCTAACTCATTTGGAGGGGATTCTATTGTTAGATCACTTAGAGATGTTGCGGTGGAAAAATTGATAGGTGTCCCTTCTACACAATACACCCGTGGCATATCATCTCCTGGTGTAAAGCTAACATGCTTTTGTGCTTGCAGTCTGTTTTGTGATGGCAGAAGTTTGTACACAGGTAGCTGACTTGGTTTCCTTGCCACAGGTGGAGGTAATTTTGAAGTGGTCTGAGCTGGCTTTTTGGCTTTGCGAGAAGACTTTGTTGGCATGGCAGAGATAATACATTCTTCTAGTATTTCAATATCATCTTCATCTGAATCATCTAATAGATCTTTTTCAGAATCAGGCTTTTCTGTCTCTTTTTCTGGGTTTTCATTGGACTCTTCAGGCTGCTCAGATTCTGTTTCATTACCATTGTCATTTTCCTGAACTGGAGGCATTATTCTTAACTCCACATCTTTCTGTATAAATGGCTCATCGAGGCTCAGTGCACTCAGGCTAGATGAACAAGAAAATCCATCTGGAGTACTTTCTGTGGCAAAATGTAATAAAGTATCAGCATCTGGAAGAACATGAACCCTCTGTACAGCAGCACTTACAGCAGCTTGCTTAGGTCCACTCTCTCTCTTATCAGCATTAGGTAGTTTATTTTTAGGTACTTCTTGTTTACTTGGAACTGTTTGAGGAGGAGGGGTTTTACTTCTGCTTGGTGGCATGGTCTGGCCAGGGCTATCTGGAAGGTCGCTGGGGCTTATAACGCCACTTACCATCCCACTGCATGGTTCACTCTGAACAGAGCTGGCAATGGACCGACTCTCAAAGCTATCAAGTGAACTGACAGAGGTACATCTGCTGAACATGAGTGGCGTCTCCTGAACATAGTGTTCTGGTGGACTCTTAGGTGTCTGAGCACCACTTTTGGATGGAGACTTGGCCCCTGAAGAAAATTCAACTGCTTTGTGCCTGCTTGAATCTGAAGATAAACCAGTAGCTTGGAGTCTGCTGGACTTGGTTCTAATGTGCTGGGACACTGTTGGAACTTCACTCACAGACTCTTCAGTTGATCTAGTTCCACTGTTGTCTTTACTTTCTGTGATTTGTAGAGTATTAGCGGACTCTGTTTTCTGTGTTGCCTGGTCACATCCTATTTCATCTTCAGCAGATGACAAAGATGATAATGAACTACACCTTGAAAAACAAATAGGTGTATCTTCTACACAGTAAGTCTGTATTGTTTCTTGGTTGATAGAGGGAACTTTGCAAGAGGTGGCTTTCTGTGCCTGACCACTTCTGCTTTGTGTTGAACTTGGATGGAGTGGATTCTGCCTCTTGGTATTAGATGAAGGTGTAGATGTGTTCTCACCATTTGAAGGTATGTGTTCAGTTTTAGTGCTTTGTCCAGAAGAACTCTTTGAGAATGAAAACGGTGGTTTCTGTGAGGAAGTTAAGTCTGTGGCATATTTTAAACTATAATCAATAGGCTGATCCACATGATGTTTTTCTTCATTGTATTTTATGCTATAATTTGTTGGTCTCTCTTCTTCTTCATGCTGTTCTTCCTCAGAGTAACGTTCACTATAGTTGGTTGGTTTATCGTCTTCATAGTCATCATCCTGACACAAAGACTGATTTACATTTTGATTAATTCCATGATTAGAACTCACTCGGCTTGTTTCTGAACCATTGGCTCCTCTTGACCTATATGGGGAAACACATTCTTGTTGTCCAAAATGTGGTTGGAACTTGAGGTGTTTATCATCATTGCTCTCAGTATATACTGGATAAGTTGTGCTTTGACTTCTTGATTGTCTTGGCTCACTTTGTTTTATTTCATCTTCTATTATATGTTTGGGTCTTGCCCATCTTTCATTCTGTGAAGGGCTCTGCCTCCCAGAGTTCAGTTGCTCATCTGAATATTTAAGACTGTAATTTATTGGTGTATCTAGTTCTCCATCATTATCATCCATGTGATTTGCACTATGTATTTTATGTGCCAGATCAGCTGGATATTGTCCATAGCTGCAAAATTTACTTTCATCATCTTCAGAATAAGATTCAATTGATGGTTTCATTTGACCTCTCTTACCATAACCATCACTACTGCTGACACTATTTAAACTATCATTTGAAGATCTCTTATACTCCAATTTGGCATAAGGCATAGTACATGTCCTGTTTGAATTTTCTGACTTAGTGAAGTTGTAAGTATTTGAATGTGTGTGAGTGGTAGAACTTCTTCTTACTGCAGCCCTCTCATCTGTCCCACAGTGTAATTCAGTGGTAGACCCAGAACTTCTGTCTTCCTGGAAAGTATGAATGGCTGATACTTCTTCCATGACTTTAGCAATCTGTGCTGCAGTGGTAGAGATCTGCAAACCTCGCTTTGAAGAGGTTCCTGAATTTTCTGTTGCTGGATGATAGTTGCCAAGGCTAATTCCTCGTTCTCTTTCCAAACTTCTATCTTTTTCAGAACGAGAACTATCTAAACTTCCCCTTGATGAAGAGGAGCTGGGTAACACTGTGGTATTTAAATATGGTGAAAGGACAGTCACATTTCCAGTATTAAAGCTGTCTGACCTACTGTCTTCATGTCGATTGCTATCAAAAACATAGTCACCATAGAGACTTTGCTTGTGTCTTTGCTTACTACGATGAGATGCCTTTGGACTTAAATTGTCAATATTGTCAAAAGTTTCTGATAAATGCTGAGCATCTAATTCTGCTTCCAGGGCCTTTTGCTTCCTGACATGAAGAGATGGCAAGCTTGAACCAGGAGACATAATATTGGCATCTTTGTATTTTGCAGGTCTATTTGCCATGAGATTCCTTAAAGCTGCAGCACTTCCCATAGCAATCATTTTGTGCTTTGAATGAATGAGGTTCTTGAGCATGCTGACTGCCCCCATATCCCACAATGCTTCCTGGTCTTTAGGATTTCTTGCTGAGAGATTCCACAAGGTTCCACAGGCATTACTGACAATTGTCAAACTATGAGATTTCAGATGTTGTAATAAGGTTTGCAGGCAGTTGTTTTCTCTTAGGATTTGCCTAAAGTAAAAGAGATCACAAAACTAAGGTCAATATTTATTTGTAGTAACAACAAAAGTGTAGAAAACACATATAAATCTAAAGGTAACTACTAAAACTTGAATAAGCAAACTCTAATTGTACCAAGTGTTACTATAAATTCCAAGCATTTCCTATCCCCTTTTGTTAGTGTATTTAATATCTATTTTAATGGGTTATCTTTCAAACCAAAATAAGTAAAAATATTAGTTTTGATCTACACTGTATTTTTTTTTCTTCTGGTGGACAAATCCTTTTATAGATGTGTTTCCATTCTGGTTCCAACAGGTCTTAAAATTTTTTCTTGAGTAGATGTATTTACTCCAGTTATATCAAAAGGACTATAAATATATCATGAAATGTTATGTTGACCAGGGACTTTGCAATAATTTATGGACTGGTGCCACAGTGCTGACCACTTAAGATAGTGAGAAAGAAGCAGAGAGAAGTGCTTAACAGATCTTTATGTAGTCAGCAAGAATAATGGATTTCCTAGAGAAGCAAACTGACTTTTAGAATGTAATCTTTACTTCTTCATGTTGACTCTGTGATACTGCCAGTCTCTTTACGTGTGCTCTGGCAACTGTGTATATATAGTTGTTATTTTAATTCATTTTTATTTAAAATGAATTAAAGGTTTTAAAGATATTTCAAGGTAACAAAAACAAGGGTTGAGAATCAGTATAATGAACTTTAATGATGAAAGAGCTTTAAACACATATGAAATGAAGTTTCAACACAGTATATTTAGCTTTAGTGGATTTTAAACTGAGTGGCAAGGGTTTGCAATAGTTTTAACACGTGTTGTTCTCTCAGCAATTCAGCAGACACCTGAGTGCTTACTGAGTTTAAGAAATCTTTGTATGGCTTAAGGGCTATCACGCAAGTTTATATATCAAAAACGTAAGGAACATCTTTATTTATTTATATCCTATAGGTATATCTTTATAGGTCAATTTAATAAACGCACCTTCATGGTCTTACTGAATGAGAGGAACAATACTAGATAAATATGCTGTGGAAGATACCCCTATTTTTTTTTTTTAACACAATACAGAACCCAAGTTCTGAAAATGTGGGTCATGCATCAGAGGTGCTTTCTGAAGTTTCACAGCTCTAGTGTATTAGACAAATGACTGATGGCTATAGAGTGGTTGTCATTCTTGATATTAAAACACCATTAGAAACACCAGTTGCTATCTGTATCAGTTTTCACATACCTTACATTCCTTTATTTCATACTGACCAAAAGGAAGTGATTTTATTCTATTACCTGTGACTTAAATTTTCCCCTCTCTATATAGGCCATACCTCTCATCCATCACATTTATTTCTAGAGATTTTTATGATATGATGAACTTTTATTAGAATAAAGATGCAATGAGTAAATTGGGGGTTAATAGCTGTCTTTTCCCTGTAATATGGCTTGGCCTAGAACTTGCATAATTACATGAAACAGTATATATAATTGAGCATTTTAGAGAATATGAATTTTGCACTAATTCATTTAGAAGTAATAAAGAACTCTTGTTTTTACCTGTGGTCTTCATTTGTAGCTATCAAGCTGGACACATTCCGTAATATTCCACCTCCACTTTCAATAATAGCCAAAGTATTTGTCTGGCTCCGGTAAGTGAGAGTACCAACCAAAAATGCAAGCGCGCCATCTACAGCACATATATCAGCTTTATTCTCAGTGCAATGTGCTGATAAATTCCATAAGGCACTCAATACACTTTTGAGAGTTGATTCCTATTAAGACACATGATACAAATCATTTAATTACAGCCAGAATTTATCTCATTAACTTCTTTGTTTACTTGTATCAAATAAGGTACTATTTTTATCTGATCTGCTTTCCAGGCCTCAATGAAAGGGATTAGAAACTCCATTTACAACAACTTTACAAAATACAAAATAGAACTTACATCTGTGATATGCCCATGAAATAAGCAGAACACAATATAAGACTAATGACCTTATAAGTTTTATTCTACGTGCTTTAATGGTAGATATCTTATTATGTCAGAAAATGAAACAATATAAACCATTATAACATCTTCAGGAAAACAAAATAAATTAAAGAAAAAAAAAAACAACCATTATACTGATATGGAAAGACATCTAAGAAGTATTGTTAAATGAAAAGAACAAGTCAAAGCATTCTGTTTTTATAAAAAACACATAGATATTTGTGGTTGACTGAAAAGTAACAATGTAACTTATTAAAAGGAACGCATACTGGAAAACACCTTGCCATGATCCTGATATCAGACTTTCTTCTTACTACAACTCAATTAGGGAACAAACATTCATTAAAACTCCAGGGCCCTCCCTGATGGCACAGAGGGTTAAAGCATAGCACTAAGAAGCTAAGCTACTTCAGCATGAGTTCAGTCTTCACCCCGGAGGTGATCCAATGGCAAGGCAGACCTCTCCTGACTGCCCGCTGCTCCCCTCAGCAGTGTACTTTGTCAGTCGGCCTGTTCTGCTCCCCACTCTGTCTCTGGTGAATTCTTTCATTGTCCCTGCACCTCTGGCCTATATCTCAGTTCTGTATGCATAAGTAAATTAATCTTAAAACAAACAAACAAACAAAAAAAATACACACACAAAAAAACTCCATTCTGTAGCTATCACAATTAGAGGCACTTCAGAGGATACAAATATAGTACAGTGACATCTACTTTAAAGGTGCTAACAACTTACTGGAGGAAGATGCAAAACCATATGAAATAGTTTCAAAAGGAAAGACTATCTCTATCTGAACTTAACCATGTAAATAAAATATTAGCAGTTCTACAGAAGAGCTGTCCATTTAGAGTTGAGAGGACAGGCGCTCCTGGCAGAAGTGGAATGAGACAAAGCAGGGAAATGGGGATCAACAAGGAAGTGGGGATCAAGAAGGGAGAACAAATGAACAGAAAGAGGACACAGGAGATCAAAGTCCATGCTGGAGAATAGTAGGAAGCATGGCCAAGAGCTAAAAGAAGGACTTGTAGGTTTGGGCAAACATTTTGAGCCTAACCCAATAAATAGGTAACCAACATATTTTTATTCTCTTCATTAGAAAATTTAATGAGGCCCTCTCTGGTGACACAACGGGTTAAGGTACAGCACTGCAAGCTGGCCACAGATGCTTCAATGCATGTGAGTTCAGAGTTCAGTGTGAGTGAGAATATGAGTTCAATCCCTAGCCCCAGAAGTTGACCCACATGGTGCAACAGACCCCTCCTGCCTCATATGCTGCTCCCCTCAGCAGTGCACTTTGTCAATCTGCTTGTTCTGTTCCCCATCCTCTCACTGCCCCTTCACCTCTGACCTGCACCCAGTTCTGTATGGATAAATAAATCTTAAAAAAATATATTTAATGAGAAACCAAACAAAAATTTAGGAAAAAGATAAAACTTGCAAACTGGTCACAATCTGTGGCATATAAAAGGGGAAGGAGAGGGGTCAAAAAAGCAGGGGAGGAAAGAGCATAAGGGATGAGGGAAATGGACCTTCGGTGCTATGGTGGTGGGTGAACTATTGGGACATCTGAGGGGAGAAATCAAATAATGTCCAAAAATTAACAAATAAATAGATAATAACTAATAACTAAATGAAATAATCTAGGAGCAACTTTATATACTATCAGATAAACAGGAGTCAGGAGGAAATGCTTTACTCAGTAGAGATGTGAGAAAGGTAAGAGTTCAATTTAAAGTGTGAGTGAAGTGAAGGTGGGACAGAAAACAGCAAGAGAACAGAAAAGACAGTAAGTCTAGAGGAATGAGCAAAACTGCAAGTGGTTCAGAGGTAAGAGGTAAATAAAGAAAAAATAAAAGTTGCTTTCTGCAAGCCCCCATGTAGAGGGCCAAGGATTTTGTTCCAAATAAGCTTTATAATAACAATCAGAGGAGATAAGAAGAAATGATCCAAGGTTAGAAATACAAGTGGTAAAAAAAGGGGTAAGTTTCAATATGGCATTTGGTTAAAAAAAATGTGTCAAATACAGGTATAAGTAGAAATTAAAAGCCCTAGTAATTTGTGATTTAGGAGAACAGATGTGCTGAAAGCAAAATTAGGACCGAAGGAGGTAAGGTCAGTTAAGAAATGGAGAAAGTAATATGCTCAGGGTCTTGGATGTTATAGAAAAAAAAAAAAAAAAAGACACATGCAGGGTCCGAAGAACTAACAAATTTTTTTTCCATCTTCAAAACACTGGGCTTATTCTTAAGTTAAAATACATAAAATCTACAGCTTGTAAAAAAGATAAAAAAGTAAGGAGCTAATAGTTTTGAGTAAACAACAGTATTTGGAGCACAGAACACAAAAGAAAAGGGTCTCTGTGTGGCAGAGAAAGTCAGCTAAATGAAGTTAAAAATGCAATTCATATGACTATGGAAGGATGTAATGTCAATTCCCCTATCAGTAAATGAAGTTAAGAAAGAAGAGATCATGAATTAAAGAGAATGATTATAATGACCACTACAATGAATGAAAAGAGAGAATAAATTCTATTACTGCTAACTACAAGTGGGTCTAAACCAGAATTGGGTGAATTTCTGGGGGGGGCTAGTTTTTCCAAGACTGACTTGCATTAAGCATTTATAGATGAATTTAGGGAGAATGATCTTTAAAACACTACTCTGCCTTTATAAGAACAGGGGTATGTTTTTTCATTTATGATAGTCTTATGTTTCTCAGTAGGATATGTGTTTTAACCTCACTTTCTCAATTTGTAGCAACTACTCTGTATGTAGAATTCTGAGGTCCTTGAGATGTATTAAAATCATGCATCCAGACAAATTCCCATAATAAAAACACATTAGGTATTTCAGAAAATATACACAGTTGATTAGAAGTTTTAAACTGTGCAACGTGATCATTCCTGATAGATGGGCACACCTATAAAACTATCGTTCTAATCGAGGGAACAATTATGTCACCAACCCACCAACCAATTTCCTGGTATACCCCAACCCAACTACTGATCTGTTTTATATCATTGTAGACTATTGCATTTGCTTTTTAACTTTCAATAGCTCAACAGTATTTCATTGTAGATATTACATGATTTATTTACCCATTCACCTGCTAAAAGACATTAGTGTTTTTGATTATTACAAATAATAATACTGTGAACAACTGCAGTGTGAACATAAGTTTTCGTTCCTCTTAAGTAAAGATTCAAGAAGGGAATGGAGGGAGGTATAGATTTAACTTTAAAACACTGCCAAACGTTATCCCCAAATGGATATACCATTCTACATTCTGATGAGAATTCCAGATGATCAACATCATTGAAAAACTTGATTAATCTTTTAAATTTTTAGCTAAAATAGTAGGTATTATTGCATTATATATTTTTTAAAAGATTTATTTATTTATGCATACAGAACATACAGAACTGGGGTACAGGTCAGAGGTGCAAGGGTGGTGAGAGGATTCACCAGAGACTGAGTGGGGAGCAGAACAGGCTGACTGATAAAGTACACTGCTGAGGAGAGCAGCAGGTGGGTCAGGAGGTCTGCTGCGCCATTTGGATAACCTCCGGGATGGGGATTGAACTCATACTGAAGTGACTTTAGCTTCTTAATGCTGTGCTTTAACTCGCTGCACCATCATGGAGGACCAAGTTGTAATTTTTAATTTGTATTTTCTTGGTGACTAATGATGTGCTGCATATACTTTCAGGGTTTTTTTTTTTTTTTTTTCTATGTATCTTCTTTTCAAGGAATAGTAACTGCTGTTTGTCAATACAGTAGGACTTTAAAGGTATCTTTATGTGGTCCTTAAGTAAATAGAATATTTTTAATACCAGTTGTTTGGTTAAATAATATTCTTATTTCTAATAGATTTTAGCTGATTTTTTTGGGGTTTTCCATTTATGAAATGACATATTTCATCAAAAATACATAAATAATTAAGAGTCAAAATGTTTTGTTGTCTCCGAAAAGGAAATTTTGGAGAAGAAAATACAAAAGTGTAGGCAAATGTCTTAAGTCTGGATGGTTGAAAAGAGGCCTGGTTAGCTAGAATTGTACAGGACTGTATTCCAGAAGTGGTTAAAGAGCTCCTGGGGAACTGGTACCATTTCTCATCACCCTCCCTCTCCTACCTACCTACCCATTTATAGGCTGCTGGCTTGGACTACAATCCCCAGCAGGATTAGCAGGATTTCCTGTGGGAGAGGGGGAGCATAAGGACTACAAGGAAGTAGAAGAGGGATCTGCAAAACAAGCACACCAAAAACTGGGAGGCCTTGCAGGCAATTTCTCCATCTAGCAACACGCCCCCCACCCCCAAACTCAAAGGGCCTGCTGCTTCTATAGCATTCTTCCCTCACCAGTTCATTGCTTTTTCTGTTAATAATTCCTTTTTATTTCCTTATTTTGGGGTGTTATTACTTTATTCCAAAGCAGCAAGTGAAAACTCACAAACCAAACATGGCACACTTGTAAGCTCATTTGCTTTTAGCCTTTCCAATTCCAAGTTTATTTTAGTTCCTGAAGTATACAGTCCAGTGGACATTAAATTACCTCTTGTAAAAAAATTATCATTTTGGGGGGCTTCTTCACCCAATTCTCTGCCTCTTGATAAGTTGACTCTCAAAATTTGTGGATTTTGGAGGATAGGTGTTTGAAAAGGATAGTGGTTAATATTTATTAAACCAGTGATTTTCAACTAGGTGTGATTCTATTCCTACTCCTTTATGTGGGGTACAACTGAATAAGGTTAAAAAACTGAGCCCCTATTCCTGACCTAGCAGGCAGGTTTGGGAGGTGCAAGTAGGTAAGGAATGGATAGGCTGCCTTGCGGACAAAGCCATAAAAGTGACCACCATGACCAGGAAATTAGTCCAGCTCCATGAATGCAGAAGCAGAGGCCAGACATCCCAGCAAATAACTGGTACAAAATGGCAAAAGTCCACACAACTATAGTATAAAAGAGTGCCTCAAATCCTCCTTGGGAAACACACTTCTCCAGCTTGTCCACTATTTCTCATAGCAGTGTATTTCAATAAATCTGCCTGTTCTGTTCTTCACTCTTGTCTCTGGTGAATTCTTTCACCTCTGTTCTCTAGCCTCATCCTGAACTTGTCCCCACAACACTTTACATTTTGGTAATACATTTCTGAGTGTGGTCACACTGAGGGATTGGTGGCCTGGCATCTATCATAAAAGAGGGATTAGGGATGCTACTAAAAATCTCATAAGGAACAGGTAGGTCATTTCCCAAAACAAAGAACTATCTTTGACAATAAAATAAGAAAAATGTTACTAGGGTCAAGTCTGAGGAACTCTGATTTACACTAAGCCATCGGCACATCTTAATACCTTTTTCATTTTAGGACTAAGGACTGACTAGGTAAGCAGGTCAGAAATTAGGGGTAAAGTAGCTAAAAGGTAGCCAAAGATGAAATCTCAATGGTAGTTCTAAATATTTCAAAGGTACCTTTTTAACTTCCAAAGCACATTCCATCAATGCTTTCACACTTCCAACTTCACGCAGTGTCTTTTTACTATTTACATCTGCTCGCCAAGATAAATTCCTCAAAACACTTGCAATAACCTGCAAATGAGTCAATTTTAGAAAAATTTGTATATGAACTGTTTTAAACTAATTGCTTTTTAATCAAAGAGGTAAGATTAGAAAGCTGTTAGTAGAGAAATCCCTCCTATATGCTAATATGGAGTCAAAAGCAACTGCTACAGTTTAAATATTTTCCATTCACACCATTCTAGTGTTACTGTAACCATAATTTAAATATGAGAACCTAAGTACTGAATCACAGCTTAATTTAATCTTATTCAGAATATTAACTACTACTATCCAAGAAAAACATCTGAAATTCTAGGCAGTACCTGCTGTAGGTCCTCACTTTCAGATTTTAGTTGGGCCACAAGTGCTCTCATGCAGCCTTTCATTGAGCATAACGTCGCCTGTAAAAGTAAATATGAGCATAAGTCAAAAAGAAAGCAACGTGAAACATGTTTTATAAACATGTTTTATAAAACTCAGACTTGCAGACTGATAAACTCATTTTAATCATAATGAATATATTTAGCCATAAATGATGCAGAACTAGTTTAAATATATGTGTGCAATTGTCAGAGTTTTTCTCTAACTCCTAGGAACAATGTTTTTAAATGTGAATGCATAAGTCCACCAGAGTGGTGCATCTTTTGCCTTTGTTTATTAGGCATGAGACAACCAAATTGACTAATGACATGAGTGGGATGTGAAGTATAAGTTTTTAATTTGTCAGTATTTAAAAGAGACAGTAACAAGAAGAAAATCAGTGAAAAGTACTTCATATGAAAATGACTCACACTTAAGATATAATACAAGATGAATCTTATAAATCATACCTTGTTAGCTACATCGCCAAAAGTCAAGTTTGTCAAAGCCATTCCAGCATATCGTCTTAATGTAATACTGTAGTGGTCATTAGTAAGCCCATACATTTCACAGTCTACTTGCAATAATTCTGCAATAGCCTGTAGTCCCCCTAAATTTGAAAAGGGCAAGAGGAAAAAGACAATAATCTAGAGTCCAACAAGTTGGTACCAAGTTTATAACTTAAACATTTGTGCAAAGTATCTTAAAGAATGCCAATATAGTGTCTAAATTTGTCTTTATAATTGTAAACTACAGAACTTTTGGGTAATATATTTGTATAACAGAACGGAAAACTATTCATTTTCTGCTAATTTCTCCACCCTCCAGTCCCTTTCTTAGTGAGTGAAATGAACAAAAATAAACTTTATATACTGCATATACATGGAATGTAGGCAGAAATGAGAACTTAATTTTTATCATGGGGACTTTATATTGTTAACTGTCATTCACTGAGCCCTCATTAGTTATTCCAATATTAGTTAATATTGAAACTTCAAAGTGAAACTGAACAAAGCAAATCTTTTATTTTTATGAAAATATTGTGCTCAAGTTGTTACTAAGTTCTGTAAAACTACTTATGTTTCTAAAAAATTTATTACTTTTTGTTGATATTAACTAGTGTCAAATACCAACTATAAGAAGATTTAATGTTTTCTTTCCTCTTGGTTCCATTGGATATGCTTAACAAAGGTTATCCAGTATATAACAAAGCCTACAGTGGTGAACACTAGAAAGCAAGGAAGAAAATGAAGGGAAAGGGATAGGCAAAGACATAAAAGAATAACACAATAAATTAAAACAAACAAAAAAAAAACAAAACTTAAAGGTGAAGCAAAATGGTAAAGGAGTAGACAAAAAATGCCTAATGTGGCTATTAAAAATACTCATTTATCAACATTAATCATCCCGGGACTGGAGATACTGTTTTATTGCAGAGAAGTAGCTAACAGAAAAAAGGGAAGGTGAATATAAATAAACAATTCTTGGATACTATAAATTAAATAGGTTATTAATTAAAAAAAAAGCTGTACTTAATTAGTATTTTTGTAAATGATTATGAAGTATCAGTGTGTAGCGATATCTATGTTTGCAAAACAGACAAAGTTCTATCTTGTGTTAAGAACTCTAGGACAGGGATTTAACTTCAGTTGAAACAAAGTTTTATGACTAGCAAAAATGACATACATTTGAATATAGGTAAGTGAAAATTAAGTTAAAGGAAAAACCAAACCATACTTAGAAAATTTCCTTCTGTGCATTCATGATGTGGAAAAATACATTGCCAGTGAACAAAATACGATCACTGTCTTAAGGGAATTTCTACATTAAAGCAAGGGTCAGAATAAAATAACTAACTTAATCATGGCAGACTTTGGAAAAGCACAGGGCAAGACAGCAAGTGGACTTAGCTAAGAGTTAGGGAATCAAGGAAAAGGCTGAAGAAATATGTTTAAGTTAAAGGATGAATGAGTATCTAAATGGGGGAACAGAAAGAACAAGAGTTTAGGTGTATGGAACAGCATGTGCAAGGATCCTTAGACATGAAATAGTAAAAAGAAGGTCATGCAATGTATGCACTGAGATTACACAAATAGGTAGAGGCCACATTAGACAAGAATTTATGTGCCACACTCAGGGTTTAGGGATGGAATAATTAGATATGTGTGCTAAATGAATTGCCAAGGTTGCAATGTACAAAATGGATTATGATTGGAAGTGAGAAGACAAGACAAACTACTAAAGAATTGGAAACATGAGGATGACGTCTTAAAGTAGATGAAAACAGCAGCAGTGATTTGCAGTGTATTTAAAAAGGAGAATTAAAGCACTCAGTTACCAGATATGGCAGTTAAGCAGAGTGAAGGACTATTTCCAATATTTTGGCTTGAGCAAACAGATTGATGAGATTGCTATTTTCTGAGAAAAGGAACCCTGAAGAATAAAATAGGGGACTAGAAGAGGTAAATTCAGTTTGTGCCAGCTGAGTTAGAAAGCTAATTCAGTGAAGATGTCAGAGGACCAGTTTCATAATGTGTCTAAAATTAGAGAGAGAGAACTTTGAAATGTAAATCTGAAAAAGACTGTAAATAAAGTCATGGGTGGAAGGGGGGAAAGAAAGAGGGAGGGAAAGAGAGAGAGAAAAAGAGAGAGAAAAAGAGAACACTTCAGCAAAGGAGAAAAAGTAAGTAAAAGAGCTGAGTCTTGAGACAGGAAATAGATCTGGAGAGCCATTCTTGATTTGAGTAATACCCTAATACTAATTAGATCACCAAAATGTTAAGCACATCAATACCAAAACAAAATATACCATGCTTTGTGGTACATACAAAATCCTGCCTCATAAAGCATTACATGTGATGCTTTCTTGAGAAAGATAAAATGATATATAGAACAACCCAAGAAGGCACTAAATGATCAGAGTCGAGTACTCTTACATGGAAAAGAAAACTTTAGGACTTGATTCTGGAAACAAAGATTAAAGGACACAGTCAATATCAACAAAAGCATGAAATACACAGCTAATAAAAAAAATTCAATAAATTTTGGGTAAAAGAGAGAGGTCTTTATGATTTCAACAAATGCAAACGATTTCAGTGAACTTAAGGCAAATAAAAGAATTTGTATCTTAAAAGTATAAATGGACCCACAAAAAAAAATGACACAAATTAAGGTTTGACAGAATAAAAAAATAGGCTGCACTATGAAAAATTAGGATATTTATGGAAATGATGCAAGATGAAAAGTATGTCTTTTTGCATTTTTTTTGGTGCATGTCTTAGGAAATAGTGGTCTATGTGGACCAAGTACTATTTAATATTGGTATTCATATCCTGGCTGATAGTAAAGTTCTTCAGGTGACCTTCAACAGATATCATTAATTTACACTTATCAATAAATGGTAATAGATGACAATTTAAAAAAAGCATATTTTTCTTTTACTTGGGTTAGATAATCAACGTTAGCCTAAAATGCTTCATTCTAAGTTTAATAATAGGGGCCCAACATCAATATTCCTCAGGTTGGTATTTCATAAATCCTCCTGATCATTAAGAATTATTGGGACCACTTATTAACCCTACCTTTCTCCTCTGGAAAGTCTGTTTTACAAAAGCCTTTTACAAGGCCAGAGAATCTACATGGTATGAGAAGTATCTTTGGTGATCATTAAGATCTGGTTTGGGAAAACTAATGCAAACAAACCATGAGATCACGAGGACCATGTCACAATCATTTTTGAATCTAGGGCCTGGGGCTCAGCTGGGAAGTAATGAATATACTTATTGTTATTATAGCCTAAAACAATGCTAATAAATGCAAACGTAAATGATCCTGACATCTGTAGAAGTGTCTTGTATGTAAGTAAAAATAGCAGTCCCAGCTGACTGGGTTTAGGAACTTCCTATCATCTACCAGGGTCTTTTCTTATCTCTTACTCGCAGATTCCTTATGCTATCCTTAGTCTTATCTCCTCACAATCCATAAACTTTGACCATACTTTTGCTTCAGTGGAAATTCAGAGGCTAGGGGTGAGAAGAAGGTAACCCCTTGTGTCTGTGTCCCCAACAGTCACACCCCCAGAGGCCCCATCCTGCTCCTCACCTGAAAGCCCCTGCCCTAGCTCCTGTGATGAAATGCCCAGGGTAGCCTTCCTACCTGAAGAAGGAAGAGGAACAAATACTGAGTCTAGGTTTTACTTTGAAATTCATATGATTAATGTGTCATTCCTAATCTGGAACAAAGGGTCATTCATAGAAAAATCTTTTAGTACCTTAAAACTGGAATAATTTTCTTGCTTGGTCACTCGTTTTATCCTGTTCTTATTTTTTACTGGTATTTATAAAGAACTTAAAATTTTCACATATGATGAAATGTACCGAAGGGAGAACTAAAAAAGATTATACTAAATTCTATAGGAGGCTAGAAGGGTGGGGGAGGAAAGCGAGTAAATGGTACCACTGCTAGGGAAACCTGGGAAAGTATTGCTGGAAGGCAGGCCTGAAATCAGAAAGTGATGGTGCCGTAGGAGACAGCACTCATTTTTGGTGTGCAGATTCTGAAAGAGTTTCATGAGTTTGCCACTTATAAGATAAATGATGAATGACAATGATGAGGGCAACAGGAATGCAACACAGGGCTACAGTGGAATGTAACACAAACAACACAAAAAGCAAGGGCACAGCTCCACTGAGATGGAAACTGAGTGTGCGGTTCTGGCTTGTGGCTTGGCTAGAGAGATCCAGTTCACATGAGTGGGCTCAGCATGCTGCAATTTATAAAACCATATGAACAAAATGAACCTAGAAATCAAAGAAAAATCATTACATGAAAACTGGGGCCCACAAATACAAGTTACCTATGGTTCAGAGTATGTGATAACACATACCTAAAATAGTAATCCTTCCTAAATTAATGAGCTATTTCTAACTTCAATCTGACCATAGTTACTTCTATATTAACCAACTGAAAGATGACATGCTGCTTTATTGTCAAAATGCAGTAAAACACTGATGGCACGAAGATAAAATGAAAATATTAACAATTCCTCCTGGTGTCCAGAAGAAGTTACTGATTTCAAGAACAATAAGTAGCTCTACATTTCAAAATATCTCATATTATCCTCCCTGTCAACTATCACAAAGGGTTTATCTTGGCAACAGGGACAAGGAGTGGCAGCCCACTCCAGTATTTGGTAAAGATTTTGAAAATCCAAGAGTTTATCACATGGTAGGAGTTATGGTTATCTAGGTCCTTATTTCCTATGCAAACCAGAGAGTAATCATTTCCCACACAGGATAGGAAGCAGCTGGGAATAGAAATCGTGGCCTTATATTCCAGTTCACCAATGATGAAAAATTTTCAGTGTTCTTCCATGGCAATATGAAACATTTGTCTTACCAAGTTCATTCATTGCGTGTCTATGCTCTTCATCAAAGGAAAGTTTCATAAGAACACACACAGCAGGACAGATCTGATGTTCAACAGGAGCTGGCACTGAAAAATAAAATGAACATGAACCATAATGCTTTGTATTCTCAAAAGTAATGATGTGTCTTAGCCTTTAAAAATACAGTGTTTAATGTATCCCTAATGCACAGTACTGTAGCAAATCAACAAATATTTGCTGAGTAGATGAATAAATATAGAACCTTGGTAGAGAAAATGGGTAAAGGGCATTTTTGGGTCCAGAAAAATATTTACTTTTTATTTCCCTTAACCAAGTCTGTTAGGGTAAATCTCTAAAAGATTTGTGATATAACTCAGATAACCAACAATTTAAGATTGTTCACAATATGAAAAAAAAAATTGGTATAAGATGGCTTAATTTCATTTATAATTTCCATTTAAATTTTTATCATGAGTGTGGGTTAAAAGTACATGGCTGTAAACAAATGGCTAGAGAAGCCTAACACAAACTTAGTAAAGAAAGTTTACCCTACAGACAGATAACTAGATAGTAAATGAAAATTTAAAGAACAGGTGTCCAAGAAAATATATTTCCATATTTAATACTAAGCACAAAGTTTCAAAGCACATTATTTGAAATAAAATTTAAAAAGTATATTCTTCAGAAGTAATTATGTTTACTTATTCTATTTAACTTTTTGAGACTAGGTATCAAGGGCACAAAATTTGAGTCCTCACATAATATAGTCAAAGAAAACAATCCAGAAAAAGTATGTTCCCCCAGTTATTAGTTTTCCCCATCCCTAGGAATGATAGCAGAACGGACAGCTAAAAAGGACTACTTCTATTTTTTAAAATTCTTGAATGCTTTCTGATTTTAGATCAATACACACCTATACACCTAAATTTAAAAAAATCTCCTAAAGCTTCATAATGTTCTTACCATCACCTCCTGCTCTAAAATCAAAAGGTTGAATACAACAGTCCTTTGTCTTTTGTATGTGTATATATGTATGAATATGTGTGTTTGCATGTTGTTATAGGTGAAAGAAAGGAAGGCCTTACCTTATATACTTACTGCTTTTGATTCTTGCTACAGGAATGAAGTAAGTTACGGCCCTAAGAGGCCCTTCTCATGAGGGAGAGGGATTGGTGCTCAAGGGTCTCTCTCTGAGCAAAGAGCTGGGTGGTTGATCAACCCCAGCCAGTGGGACTCCAAGTCTCGAGCAGGATAGGGTAGCAGGAAGAGCATGGGTTGAGGGTCAGAGATCTGGCCTCTTCCTGGCTCCACTACTCACTAACTGAGACTTCAGTCAAGTCTTTTAGATTTTCTGAGTCTCAATTTCTTCTTCTGTAAATGGAGATGACAATGCCTTCCCTTCCTACTTCACAAGGTTGTTATGAGGATTAATGGACTTAACAGCGGAGTAGAGAATATGCAAATATAAAGCTTAGTCACTGACAGCTGAAAGCTATTATATCAAGTCCCTTTCTTGAGCTTAATCTATAAAACCAGAGAGGGGCAACACAATTACTCAAGATCTTTCTAGAGCTATTATGCTATGACTAATCTCTCTTGATTCTTGTTCTTTTTATGAATACTGGTGCATAGAACATTTTATGTTGCTATTTTTTCTAGGGAAATACAAACATTAGCTTTAAACTTTGTTTGCAATACAGATGGTGAATGTAAATTTCCTCTTCCTGTTTCATAAAGATGGCATACTAACTAAAAAAAGGTTTTTTTTTTTTTAAATTTTTAAAAAACTTACATTTGCTTCATAACATGCACTAGGAGGTACACTATAGCGAACATACTTGGATTTTTGTCCTGGTCCATGCCTTGTTCATGGGCTTCCTGCCACTCCCAACAGGTTTCACAGTACGCTCGTATCTGTTCCAAAAGATGAAGGACTCGGATTTCACGCCTGCCTCGCTTGTCATCAGGCTGTGAGTGAATGATGTTGTGGAGTGCTGCACTGGCCCTGGCCCGAGCCTCTTTACTGCCCCGGGAATTTCCCAACAACACAGAGTCTTTGTCATTGCCATGTAAAAGCTGGATGAGGAGAGGAAGACATCCAGACTGTCGCATGGATATACAGCTGTCTTGGGAGCTAGACATAGCTAGCAAAGTTCGCGACATATCATCCTTATCATGAGTACCAAGCATTGACAACAATGAATACACCATTTCCACCTGTGGGCCAAATGAGTTTAGAAACAAAATTATGACTTTAATATCTAAAAGCCAACACCAATGAAGTGATGAATGGGATATTTATTGTAACTTACTAAAAGAAAAAATAAAGAACAAAAAACCCTTTCTGGATGAAAAATGAGCATTAGTTCAAAACCCATATCATCAAATTGATCATCACCAATTTGTATACATGAGTACAGAATAGTAGTGTTAGTACCCAGTATTGAAAAAGAAAGTAGATTTTTGCAATACTTAAATTATTCTTTGGAAAAGCTGGCAATAACCCATTGATTATAATGAATGAATCAACTGATTTTTCTTTCTCATACATACACACAATTAGGAAATGATATTTATTTTAGTTATTATCTGAATATAAAGTTTTCACAATCACCAACCCTCATCAGATTTTGTCACTAAAATTATGTGACTTCTCTCATATTTTGTCATTAAAAAGAACAGGGAGTAAGAAGTCAGAATTCTTACTCAGTTTTGTTTTTTTTTTTTAAAGTAGCATCAGTTACTCTCTGATTCTAAGGATTTACTTAGAAACAGATTAGAACAGGAGACAGTACCTAGTTATGTAGAATTATGATGTTTCATTCCAAAGCTATCATTTCATAAATCAGTGCTGCTTATTTATACCACCCCTCTCCCAACACAAATTTGGGAGGGTCATGAAGGCATTTTTGGTGGTCACAAATCGTGTGAGGAAGTGTTACTGGAATCTATGGTGGAAACATCTGAACAAAGAACTGCTCTTCAGTCAATAATTAAGAAACCTTACTACAAGTGTGTAAATATACACATATTCTTAGATATAAAAGTTTCAGCAAGCAGTTCAGAATTATGGCTACATGGCTTTCAAATTCTGGCTCCCCACTTATAAGCCAGCTATGGGACATTGCCAAATTGAGCTCCAGTTTTCTCAGTTACAAAATAGAGGGATTTATCCAGTAAGATTTTTTCTGTGGCACTTCAATGAAATAACACATGTATAGAATAATACGTGACAGTCAAAATGTAGTGAGATTTTAATATTATCCTGCACCTTGAAAGATGATAGTATAGCTGCCAGTTTTCAGAGCACTATTGTTGACTACGGAGACTTTCATTATAGTAAAAATATGTATTGATGTTGGAAAAATTTGGAGGTAAATTCCAATTAAATTGCACAAAAATTGCCTGAAGCTTTTTTTGCTTCATTTTCTTATTTCAAAACAAAGGGGCAAGATCACACTGCAGGAGTTTTTGAGAAGACCAAATATTGTACAAACAATATGCACAGTCACGGGCCCACCAGAGGTCCTCACAGTAGCTATTATTGTGAGTCATCAAAAAGATTAAGTGTCATAATAACACTATCATGGATTATTCTAACATTAATTTCTTAAGTCAATAGTACTTTATTATTGTCTGTCCTAAGAATCCTTAGCATATATAGAATATGTTATGAAAATAGTTATGGAAATATTTAAATGGAAAATATTGTTAAATAATATTAAAATTTTATCTATGTCAATAATAAAATAAAACTTCAGTCTTTAAAACAATAGTAATTCTCCTGTTTCTGAAAGCATATTATCTCCAGGCCCTAAAATATTTGCTAACATCCGGTAATATTCAATAATTTTTTATCCACTACAAAAGATACATTAAAAAATTAGTTCAACTCTAAAAAGTCCAAAGAGCTTCAAGTAAACTGTAGTGACTTAAAGAAAGTAGACAAAATAGATTAGTAGGACAAAGTCTTAGAAATAAGAAAATGCTTTCTAAAAAAAGTAAAGTCAGAGAAAAGTTGTAAGGTTGGCTAGGCTTCTGACCGTCACTTTGCACTGGCGCAGAAAGTCGACTGCCACTGCAGGCAAGACATGAAGGCAGACACAAGAACTTGTTTGGGAAGCAGCAAGTGTGTCTACTACTTAAGATAATAAGGTTGAAAAAGAATCAAAGACCTGATCATTTGGTACTTTTTAAAATCCCCATTTTCCTTTTGTCTATGCTTCTTGATATAAAAATATGTCATTTATTTAAGAGACTGTGATTATGGGATTAGAATTCTGTAGCTGAATTTAAAAGATGAATGAAATATTTTAGCAAAGTTTTAATACCACTACTGACTAGTGTTTACAGTTCTGTTACCTTGGTTCCCAGGTGACTTGTCAGTCTTCGAGGAGCTGAGTGTGTGCTACCAGAACTCAAAATACTGGCAGTTTCATGATCCATTCGTGCAGCTGACCCCTAGAAGTTAAGCAAATTATAGATAGCATAATTTAGATTACAAATAAATATTCAGCTATTTACATGGTAACAAATGCTCAAAAAAAAAACTGTCTTTAGGGTAAATTGCTAAATATGCTATATGTCACATTCAAGTGTTAACATTTTAACTGTTCAATGTATTTTTACCTGTGAGTGTAAGGTTTTAGAAGAAAACTGAAGAAAAAAAAGATTTATTAGAAAAGATAGCTAAACTAGAGAATGGAAGTATATATAAACACTGAAGAAATTTTCTAAGAGTACTGTTTTCTCAGAAGTCAAAAGAAACCACATTCAGTTAAATATAAATTGACTGATAAAAAGTTTCAGTGATTAGGCCCTCCCTGGTGGCGCAGCAGGTTAAAGCACAGCACTAAGAAGCTAAAGCCACTACTGCGTGAGTTCGATTCCCGCCTGCCCTGAAGGTGACCACATGGCGTGGCAGACCTCTCGTGACCCGCCCGCTGCCCCCCTTAGCAGTGTACTTCATCAATCTGCCTGTTCTGTTCCCCACTCTGTCTCTGGTGAAGCCTCTCGCCGCCCCTAAGCCTCTGGCCTCTATGCCAGTTCTGTATGTACAAATAAATAAATCTTAAAAAAAAAAAGTTTCAGTGATTAAAAGGTCCAAAATTACCACAAAACTAACTGATTCATACAATCCAAGTTTTCTGGGAGCTTGCAGTATAGAAAAGACTACTTGAAACTTTTACCAGAGAAAGATTATGAAAAAATAAATAGCTACAATTGATCTGAAAGCACTGTAGTAGAATGTATGAAACACTGAAGGGAAATAAGAAGAAGCAACCTGTTTATGTATGGCACTGAAGACTGCATAAAATAAGAAGCATTTAGGGCCCTCCCTGGTGGCACAGAGGGTTAACAGCACTAAGAAGCTAAAGCCATTTTGGCATGAGTTCGATCTCCACCCACCCTGGAGGTGATCCACGTGGCATGGCAGACCTCTCCTGACCCACCTGCTGCTTCCCTCAGCAGTGTACTTTGTCAGTTAGCCTGTTCTGCTCCCCACTCTGTCTCTGGTGAATCCTCACACCACCCCTGCCTCTCTGGCCTGTACCCCAGCTCTGTATGCATAAATAAATAAATCTTTAAAATAAAAAATAAATAAGAAGCATTGAAGGTAGGCCTGGAATTTTCAGTAGAAGGCTGATAGAAGAGACTCTGTTAAGGTAAAAATAGAAAGAACAAAGTTTCTGGTTAGATGTGTAGTGAACACAATGTGTTTACTTGCAAATAAAGGTTGGGTTAAATTAGTAAGGATTTTGTGTCATTTTTAAAGATGTGGAAGCACTAAACTTTAGGCAGGAGAATGGTATAACCAGAATTATTCCCTAAGAAGAATAAAGAGAACAGCACGGGAAATGACAGGTGGGAAATCAAGAAGAGGGTACTGTTAATAGTTGAACAGGCACAAATAAAGAAGTGAGAAATGGGGATGTATACTTAGGGCTAAAAATTAATTGGCTTATTAACTGATTGGATGTGAATAAAGGGAGATTTCTAGGTAAAGAAAACTTGGAGGTGCTGAGATTGGATAAAAGGATAGATGAAACTTTCATGAACAGATGTAGAAACCCAGGAAGAAATGATGTCTTAGTGCAGGTCTGAGCTCCCCTTTTTTATACCCTGACATCCAGTAAGAATGTTCAATCAGAAACATATGATGTCATTTCTATGTAGATAAACATCTGGGCTTTATCAAAATATGTTACAGTTAAAGCCCATTCATTAATGATTTAAGAATGTTATGATATTCATAGTATTCAATTAGAAAACACTATCAGCATGAAGCCTGTTATAGGTCTCAATCTTTCAAGAGGACAAGTTCTTTGAGAACTTTATATTGTTCACCGCTACTGCTGTATTCTCAGTACTAAGTGTAGCCTCAGGCATATGTTAGCTGTCAACAAATAGTTGTTGAATTCTGAATGAGTGAGGAGTTAGTAGTAAAATATGTAAGAATATCTGGACAGTGGACACGACTGATGGTTCTCTGGTACAAGTGCTTTGGCTAGTCAGAGATGTGGCAAAGAGAAAACCCTGATGGTAGTACTAACTTTGAGGATTATGCTTCAGAAAATACAGGAGGTTTGAATGAATCTATGTCTTGAATGCACCCCATTACCCTAAATTTTAGAATCAAAAGAACTCCTAATAGCTTTTATGAATAAAGGTCATTCTTGGTCAAGTTAGAAACTCTCCCATTAGTCAGCAACCTTAACTGTTCATCTGCTAACAAGTAAAGAAGTGAGAAATGGGGATGTATACTTAGGGCTAACACGAAATTGTTAACAAGCATTCCCAAGTGAATAGTCTGGCTTCTAATAAGTAATAACTAAATGCTCATGCAGGGACTTCTGAATTTGCTACAAGTACCCAAATAGGTACTACTTCAAAGTATATTTTTAAAAGGGCAGCTTAGAATTTGCATTGAGGTCATGCTAAGGGTAGATTTTACTGACTAGTCCCAAAAGCAGATTTAGGGCATCATTCATAGCAATGTTTTAAAGAGAAAATTATAATTTCAGAACTCACCTGTATACTTAAAGCCTTTTTCATGGTTTCCCATATAAAAGCATAAATACCTACTTACAGTCACATTAGGGAAATCGAGGGTTGATTTGAGAATACCAGGACAGAGACCCAGAGTAACTATCTTTCTGGGCCCCAATTCTTTGTGGGTCTTTGTGGATGCTTTATGTTGATTAGTCCTCTAGGATACTTCTTAGTAGGAGCAGCTAGTTAGCGCCCTTCAAGGCATGGAAAAGAGGCAATAGAGAAACTTGTACTGTATGTTTTTCACTGCTATTGGGCACTTCCAGAATAATCTTTCAGTTCACAAGCAACCAAACAGCGCATTTTTACTCAACTTTTGCTACTTTCCAGGTAATAACCAGGAATATAACTGTAAGGCATTTCACTTTTACTGCCCTATCAAAGGGAAGCTCTACATGTAAATGTATAGTGGTAATTGAGAGAGCTCAGGTGAATACATAGGAGGAAAGGGGAGAGGGAGAGACAATGACAAATAAATTTGGAAATAAAGAGTTCTAGTTGCAACAGAGGAAGCATTTGAGGGACCAAGACTCTGAATAAAGACTAAGGGCACATTTTTTGTAAATTTAATCAAGGGAATTTTCTTGTTCTACAGGGCTACTCCTTATCATGAAGAAAACATACCATCTTTGAGAATATATAAATATTTTTTACTGTGTGATTCTAAGACAACTCCTAATGATCCTTGCTAGTAACTATGCCTTTATGTAATCCGTTTCCAAAAAAAAGATTATATCTAGTGGCTGGTTTCTAGTGAAGAGAATGCAGAAGAAGCTATGAAAAGTCATTTCTAAGATAAGGTTGCATAGACTGTAGCTTCTATCTAGGGTACCTCAATTGTTCTGAGGGAAGCCAGCTACTATCCTCACAATAGTCTTCTGGAGAGACCCAATGAACTGGTACTCTGGGAACACTTAGTGTGGACAAAAGGTCTGTCAAAGCTGTATGAGTGAGTTTAGAAACAGATCTAACCCTAGTTAAACCCTGAGATGACTACATCCAGCCAACACCTTGATTATGAGTGACCCTGAACCAGAGGCACTCAGCTAAACTGAATCTGGATTCCTGACCTACAGAAACAATGTTTTCTGTTGTAAGCTGCTGCATTTGTGAAGCTCAAGTAGATAACTAATACTGTTTGGGGAACAAAGGGGTTAAGTTATGAAGTTAAGGGAATACTTATTTCCACACAACACTTACTTCAATGTAGATACCAGATCTTCAGACTTAGTACTTCCCTTGGACTCCTTGATTTTGAAACTTCACTTACCTCTCCCAATCTAGCTAGCTAGAAATCTAGATGCATTTACTGTAAGTATTTATATAACAGAAAGAACCATTTACATATCCAAATTCCCAGTATGCCTAGAACTTGGGTTTTGAGAATCTTTATGTCTAGCCCTAAATCTACAGCTTTCAGAGAGAACAGAATATCTCTGCTCACAAGAACAAATAACTTTCTGAACAGTGTTTTCTTCATGAATAAATTGTGAAGAAACTTGAGTGTGATTAACTTTCTCATAACCTCAAGCACATAGCTTGAACTGGTCATGCTCACTGTCCACAGACTTAAGTACTTCCAGTTCTAAGATGTATGAGATCCTATGTTCCACTTTTCTCTTTTCTATTTCTTACAGAATCCAGGTCCCACGCTTCATAATTAACACACATACTCAATTTTTAAATTAATGTTTCTTTTAATTTCAAGCCTTAATTGAAACATATACCTGTAATCCTTTTATTTCACTAGTCAGCTCTTTCTTCACTCAGAGTAGGACTGAAATAGATAAGCCTTGTTGCTTTGTACAAAACTATGGTTCTTCTTCCTTTACTACAATTTTACATTCTAACAGAAATATAGAAGAAACTCCCTTAACTTTTTGCTACTAAACTGACAGCTATCTGGGCCCATTTTTATCCCCCCTCATCTGTTCTTGCATTATGGAACCCATTCACTGAAGATCTATCTTTGCATCAATGCTCTCAATCCTTCTCTTCTCCATATCTTTTTTCATTGGGATTTTTTTAAAAAGATTTATTTATTTATGTGTACAAAACTGGGTTATAGGCCAGAGATGGTTGGGACGGTGAGAAGATCCGCTATAGTCAAAGTGGGGAGCAGAATAGGCAGATCGACAAAGTACACTGCTAAAGGGAGCAGCAGACCAGACAGGAAAGGTCTGCTACTCCATGTGGGTCACCCCCATAGCAAGGGATTGAACTCGCAGCGAAGGTGCTGCGGTCATCTACGCAGTGCTGTGATTAACCCGCTGCGCCACCAAGGAGGGCACTTTCATTGGAGTTTTTAAACCTCCTTCTCTACTAGCTCCTCCTCATGATTATTCAAACATGCTCATCTCTTCTATTTAAAAAAAAAA